CGCCGAGCTCGACCGCCGCCGCCGCCGGTGACTCCTGGGTATAACGGGTCCTACAAGCGGGTCCTACGCGGGACCGCCGGGAGGACCTCGCCAGAAATCACGGCCTCGTCGCGTCCCTCCACGGCCGCGTCGAGCGACCGCCGCCTCCGTCTCCGAACTTGTCTATGTAGCGGAGGCGTATAGGAGGGATCGTGTCCCCTACTCCGGGGTGACGCCTCCGTAAAATCCCGGAGGATTGAAGATGTACGAGGGATTGGAGGAAGAGCTTAAAACCTGGGACTCTGCTCGATGTAAGGGACTGCAAGACGAACATCCGTTAATTTATTGGGCACACCCCTTCCGGATTCGCGAGAAATCAAGATTGCCGATTGATGACGTTATGGTCGAGTTGGCTGGGCATAGGCAAGTTGAGGGAAGCGTTTGTTGCAGGGTATTAAAGCGGAGATATCGAGAGTATAGCGATTATATGGAAAACAAGAGAAGTACAGAGATTTGGGGAACCTTAATGGCCTCCCCCCCGTAATAGAAAAACCTGAGTACGCGTTATGCTCGGAATATTGTCGAAAGAGTACGCGCGAAAGTATTATTAAAAATTTGAGAATTACGCGGTGCACTTCCGAGACATTACGCTTTATCATTGGAAACAGACGTCCATATTATGATTAGGAAGAATTTCGAGGGAATAACGCAGGAAGTTTAACTACGTCGAGTTATCGAACAAATGGCAGCTGAACTTAGGGTGATAAAGATAGGCAGCTTTCAAGTTGAAGAACGAGGTATATTGATCTATTTGAGATAGAACTACGTACGTGTATATAGAGCTGATTGAAGGACCGACGATTAGACGAACGAGCGGATTAACGGATCGACAAGAGGAATGGAGAAACGGTGCTCCTTTCCAGTGCTCGCAAGTCAGGATATGCTACCAATACGATTGAACGGAAGATGGGATTCAAACTGAAGCGGAAACCGAAGATCAAGAAACCGACCTCGATCACATTCGCCAGGATAATTCGCGCGAACGATCGTCCTGCCTTAGTTTTGACGATGCGAGAAAATCAACCCTTTCTTTATGGTTTCTCCCGCGTCGTATATACGAGCGGCGTTGTTATAACGGCACGAACTTTAAATAGCCGGGAAAGGAGAAAGGGGTCGAGATCAAAGGGACGTGCCTAAGATATAATCGAAACGTTTCTTTGGTACACTTCAATTAAGTATACATGAATTGCGAGAGGAACTCCTTGGCCGACCTTGAGGGAGCTGGCCTTGACGCATTTTTATCGGAGTCCGAGAACCTCTATCGTCGGAATAATAAAGATCGAGATCGGTAGCGAGGAGAGAAGAGCAGCGAACGAGTCCACCAAGTAGATCCGGCAAACGCGAGAACGCACTTGCAGATGCACGCACCTGCAGTCTTGATATATGATAATAGTTATCAGCGAGAGAGAGAGAGAGAGAGAGAGAAAGAGAGAATGAGAGAAAAAGAGAGAAAGAGAGAGAGAAAGCGACGTCCAACCACATCCGCAGCAGTAGTCGCACTAATGGCTCTAATACCTTCATTGCACAATTCTAAATTAATATATATACATACATATATGTCTGCGTATAAATATATTATAAACACGGCACACGTATACGCACGTACATATATACACGTATACACACATAAGCCCTAAGTGTATATTTTAAGATGGTATTAGCGGCAGCAAAATGCGCGAGCGTATACCGATCATCGCGAAGTACTGTGCTAAGAATAAGTTAGGTGTGTCTATGTAAGTATTATAAATAAGTAAAGGCGAAGAAGCGCCATGGCGACTTAAAGAGAGGATCATCCACGATTTTTACGCAACTCGACAATTTATGGAAATATATGTATACGTAAAAAATTAAATATAATATATATATCTAATATATAATTATAATATATAATTACAATATATAATTAATTAATTTTATACCTTAATTAATTATATTAACATTAATTTTATATAGAGAATTATATATTATAAATATATATATGTATTTATAATATAATTATTATATTTAATTCTATTATATTATATATATTTTCTCTTTTGGAATGTATCACAGATGACTCAATTAAATAACGCAGAACATTCTGCATTCTGTAATTATTGTAATTATTGAACAAGTTTTTTGATAATTGTTATTACTTATACTTGAATTTATTATTTGGTGGATTTAAGTTCGCTGAATGATACAGAGAAAATCCTTACGATCCTCGGAAAATTGAATTGCATTCAGTTTAAAGGAAAAGGAAGGATCTGTATATATACCTATTAGCAGAAAAATATCATAACAGCCAATTAATAATTAATCCCGTTACCACTATAAGAAATATATAAGAAAGAGAGTTGCACTTACTTCTTTGTAATACTTAGATACTCACCATCGTCGCGCACCATCGTGTATGCGGCCATTATAAATATTCGAAGAGATGAAGATATAAATAAATGAATATATTATATATAAATATATATTATATATACACATATATATACACTGGCGACACATTGGCGTAGAATTTAGCATATAATTGTATTAATGTAAACTTCTGAGGCTGTGGGTGTGGCACAAGGATGCTGATTTATTATACGAGCTGCTGCACTGTTGCAACCTGTGCGAATCTTAGGAAATTACACTTTTAACTTTTGAGGTACGCATGAATCCTGCCCGTGCGTGAAAGTGCGTGTCAAGGTGGAGACGCATCGTCGTCGTGTACACGCGAGCTCACGTCTCACCATGATAGTATTACACCGTCGAATGGATGCGGCTGGATTTTTATATATATCCAGACAATGTGCAAGAAGAAGAGAAAAAGTTATAATTGAAGCCATTCGACATTTCTAACGGGAAATTTTTAGAAGAATGTACTTTATTTTTTAAGTAGAAAATAATTAGAGAGGTACAATATTATATATTTTATTTTTTACATTTTATTCTTTTATACGCGTATTTGTTTTGTATATTTTATTTTAGAGGAGCGTAATATTTACATGGTGTAATAATTTATATAATTGATGAATAAAATATATATGGCTCGCGCGCTCGATAAAAATGCGAGCATATGAAATAAAATATTATAAGAACAAATAAAGCATGAGGGGAAACTCTGCGAAATAACACCAATGATTAAGAAATCAATGCTATTAACACCACTATTGATACCACTTTCAGCATTATTAATTATTTACGGTGCAATATGATAAGATGCGAGCTCACGTGACGTAATAACGGTGGACCTCCACCTTTAATCGACGTTTTGTCCTGGAACGCAATCCGCGGTCGATCAGCGGCGCCTTAGAGCCATTATTATTGCTATATGACATAATTACGTAGATACAATTAGCGAGCAGCGAGACCAATGTATGTCGAGCCCATGAACACGTGCGAGAACCACAATAGCGAACATGAGAGAGAGAGAGAGAGAGAGAGAGAGAGAGAGAGAGAGAGAGAGAGAGAGAGTGTGTGTGTGTGTTTGAACGTGTTAACGTTATTCGATGGTTACAAGGTGGCATATTAATTAATAGCCGATATACATATTAGATATAAAATATATATCCCTGTTCTCTATTTCTTAAAGTAATATTACGACAGTTGATCAGAGAGGAACACGCGATGGAACAATGACTGCTCTCCGTAAGAAGACGATCGTCCGTCCGAAACCTTTTAAACCTTTTAAATTATTTCATCGTTAAAATTTTGATTAATTTAAAGAATTGAATCATAAGAGTGGACAAAAATTTCGAGAAAGTAAATATTACAATAGAATCAAACCTGGATTTTAAACTGACTTTAAACTTAGCTCGATGTATTATCTATTTATGCGACCACGATGTATTATTGCTGTAAAAGCGATATGAAAAGGAAACAAAAAATTTATATACTCAATTTAGATACAGGGGTTATAAAATGTCTGGTCACAAAGTTTTGTGTTTATCAATCATTAGTATAACATATATTCACAAAAAAACTTCGGATTGTTAGTTATATCTTATTAAATACAAAAAGTAATAAACATTCAAAAGAAATCTATAACTTTAATATAAGGCGTTTTGAGAACACATAACAACGATAGCCATGTAATTTTCCATGAATAAATTCTCTCAGCCACACACAATAGAACAGTTTTCAAAATAGTTTCCAGTTCGTCAACCAATAAAAATCTTTCGCTGCAGGTTTTTGGTATTTAATAAAATTTAATTGACACTGTCTAGAGTTTGTTTTTTTTTTTTTTTTTGTAAATGTACGCGTTCTTATTCAGATAGTAAACTTTTTAAGTAAAATTTATTATCATTTTGACGTAAAAATGACATCTTTATATTCTGACATCAAGAGTTCTTTTCATTATCGGAGAATTCTCTGAACACAGTAATAAATTGAAGTCATTATATTTGTTTCATTTCAACTTAGTGCACCAATTCAAAAAGTTCATCGATGAAAAACAGACTTAAAACGACGACAAATAACGTCAGTTTGTCACACTGAAAAAAATACTAAATTTCAATAAATATTTGAATAGTTTTAAGTAAACATTTACTAAATGTAAACATGTATTTATTTGATACAAAAACTATTAATTTAACTATCATTCTTTTATTGAATAAATATTTATTTACTGTAAGTAAATGTTTACTTGGTACTATTAAAAAAAATATGTATCAAGATTTGAAATATTTTATAGTGTATCTGAATAATGATTTGATAAAAACTAAAAACACAAAACTTTGTCACATAAACTTATTGTCATCCTCATAAAAACAATTTATTATCCAAATTGCAGTCTCAATATAAAAGTCGACGCGATAATATCGAATTTTGGCTTCCATGATTACCCATTAATTGTGTACGGCGAGTTGAATTGAGTTGAATTGATTTGATTAAGATAGACGATCGTCGAAACAGTGTTATTCTATCACGTACTACTCACTTTATTTCGCGGCGACGTTCTCGAGGGAAATTGTACGCAGAGAAACTTGGACCGGATCATCCGTGGCATCTAGAAATGGAAATGCTGGTGTGAGTCTGCGGAGAAGCGAACTTTATTTCACCTATTTAATTTTTTTGTACAGTATTTTTATGTTATCACACATTTTAATTCTACAAAGATTTTATCTCGCAGCATCTGTAACATGCAAGTTTTTATCTCGCGTTATGCAAATTTTTAGAGAGAGAGACGACGCAACGCATTATTTGTAAGTAATCCGACGATTATTTTAGTTATTCGGTATAACGTAAGTTACTTGCTTTTACATTGCTTTCTTTTCCTTCGGAACGCGCCATCTCTAGAAATTAACATCCTCCGCCTTTCTATAGAATTTAAGAAAACGGATAAAACTTTGCGAAATAGGACCGATTAATTTATTATTTCTATCTTATGTTCACCGCGTTTTCCTCGTTCGAGAATTTGTACATTTTTTTAGCTTCTAAGGTATTATCTGAAATATATCATCCTTATTTTTCGAAAAGTGTTTGAGAAATACACTGCAGACAAATCTCCAG